AGTCAAATTCAGCCAGACTCAACCGCCAATGAATTAACCTCTGATTAGGCTCTTTCAAATTAAGACTATAAGTCAATGGCTTATGGTCTGTGTAAAGGGTGAATTTTCTTCCATACAAGTACGGTCGAAAATGCTTACATCCCCAAACTATCGCTAACAACTCTTTCTCAATCGTGGAGTAATTCTCCTCCGATTTATTTAGAGTACGAGAGGCGAAGGCAATGGGTTTATCCCTGCCTATTGGGCCTTGTGATAATACAGCGCCAATCGCGTGATTGGATGCGTCTGTAGTCAAAATAAAGGGTTTAGTAAAATCAGGATATTGAAGAATATCGCTGCTTGTCAATATACTTTTACATTTGTTGAAGGCCTTTACAAAATCTTCAGTGTGGCTAATCGTTTCACCTTTACGTAAAGAGTTTGTCAAAGGTTTTGCAATTTTTGCAAAATCCTTTATGAACTTTCTATAATATCCGAGGATTCCAAGAAAACCTCTAAGTTCTCTTTCAGTCCTCGGAAGGGGCCATGTTTTGATTGTTTTAATTTTATCTGGATTCGGTTTCACACCATCTACAGTTACTATGTGACCTAAAAAGGCGACTTCCTTACGAAGGAAATCGCACTTATCCAATTGGACCTTCATATTATATTTGGATAGAGTGTCGAGAATTCTTTTCAAGTTTTCCAAATGCTCTTGCAGACTGGAGGAGAATATAATAATATCATCCATGTAGATAAAACATCGTACACCGACGTGTTCTCTTAAAATATTGTCCATCACCCTCTGAAAGGTTGATGGAGCATTTTTTAACCCAAAGGGCATTCGCAAAAATTCGTAATGCCCATTTTCGACATTGAATGCTGTCTTTGGTATATCAGATGTTTCGACTTCGATCTGGTGAAAACCAGATGCTAAGTCCAATGTTGAAAAATAATTGCACCTTCCCAGCTTATCGAGTATATCCGATATGTTCGGGATAGGATATTTATCGTCGATCGTTTTATCGTTTAATTTACGATAATCGATGACCAATCTCCATTTCTTTTGCCCGGAAGCGTCTATTTTTTTAGGGACGATCCAGACTGGAGATGTCCACGGACTAACAGAGTGTCTGATGATACCCTGTTCCAACATTTTAGAAATTTGTTTTTGTACCTCTTCTCGGTGACAAAAAGGGTACCGGTAAGACTTTGAATAAATCGGCAAATCGTCTTTGGTTTTAATACTGTGTTTAACAGCATTAGTAAATGTCAAGTGTTCACCTTCAAGTAAAAACACATCTTGATTTTCTGCGATTGTTTTAAGTAACTGCTCACGCTCTTCTGCATTCAAGTGTTCTAGCCTTAGCTGCTCAAATAGTTTTCGATTTATTGGACGAGGTGATTCTGGTGGGTTTTGTGCTTCAAAGTTATTTAATTCAAATTCAAATGGTTTAACGAATTCGATACACGCTTTCTCTCTTGAAGGGTTTGTCACTGCTAAATAAGCGAAATAGTTATCGGCACTATACAAGCCAGAATGAACAAATATCGAGTTTGAAATTATCGTGTCTGTTGGTACTAGAAAATCTCCTTTTTCAACATTTACCGGAAGATTTAGAAATTTTGTTTTATTGGCATTCAATTGTATTGGGGTACTGCATGGATATTTGCGCAACATTCTTATTTTGCCGCACGGTAATTGTAATTCGTTTGTTGTTGTGAGAATATTGGCTTTTAAGAACTGTAATGCCTCGTATCCGATTAGCCCGTCGAAGAAAGGGTGGAAATCGAATACATAAAATTTTATCTTCATTGTTTTAGGAATTTGCAGGAATGGGTTAAATTCCACAAATTGATTCACAGCATGAGTGCCATTTATATTATGAATACTAACCGGATCTGTGAATCTGCACTTTTCTATGTTTACGTGTTTGGGGCTAATATAATTTTTATTAGCTCCAGTGTTTATTAAAAATTTGAGTAAACCTTTAGAAGTGCTTATAGTAATATAGGGTACAAAATTGTTTACGTCGGAAAATAATCTATTGCCGGTTGCCGAAAATTTAGATCATCTACTTGAATTAAATTTTCATTTTTGTGAGTTTCTGCCTCAAGTTGTTCGGAACTCGCTTCAATAGGATTTTCTGGGGTTTCCTGATAGTTTCCATCAGGATAATTTTGCTCATATCCTTGAAACATTTGATCGTATTATTCATCATAATACACTTCATCGCCCTGCTCTTCGATTTGGAAATTTGGTAGATTCCGGTTCATGTAATTGACCTGTTTGGAACGTATGGATTGGTCCACTTCCATAGGAGTTGGTTTTGTAAAATTTTGTCTTGAGGGAAAACTGTTGGATTGGAATTGTCTTTGGGGTTGATGACCAAATTGAAATGGTCTTTGTAGTGGTGATATTTGGAAGGGTCTTTGTTGTTGTGGGAATTGGAAAGGTCTTGGTTGTTGAGGGAATTGGGGTGGTCTATGCTGTTGAGAGAATTGGAAAGGTCTTTGTTGTTGAGGAGATTGGAATGGCCTTTGTTGTTGAGGGAAGGGTCTTTGTTGTTGAGGGAATTGGAATTGTTTTGATGGTTGGGGAATTTGGAAAGGTCTTTGTTGTTGGGAAAATGGGAATTGATTTGGTGGTGATAGTGGAAGAGGTTTCGGGGGAATTTGAGGAGTGATTCTATGTGGATTTCTGACATAATTATAGTTACTCTCCTCGAGACAAAGTCTTAAACCTTCTTTGAGAGTCTTAGGGGCTTGTGCCCTAATTATAGGACCTAGTGGTTCTTTTAGACCAGATAAGAACACCTTTAAACCTAGTTCCCGATAAAAATCTTTCTTTGCTGTAACCACTACTGGGTTTGGTTCATTCAGGTTAAGTAAGTTTACCAGCAAGGAAATAGCATGGGAAACATTACCATAAAATTCTTGTACGCCACCTGTTTGAGTAATTTTAAATAAATCACGAGTAAGGGAGATCTCATCCCTTTTATCGCTGAAATGTGTAGTGAGGGTGCCCTTAATATCATCCCAATCTGTATCGGTGCCATACAGCTCCAACACTGCATCTGCATCCAAAGTAATTTTCGCACGGATGGCTTGCATCCAGACTTCAAATACAGGTGTTCCTCTTGCTCGTTCTAACGACGGCATGAGCTTATCAATCGATTTAATGAAACTGTTCAATTTAACGGGATTTCCTGTAAAACAGGGTAAGTCCCTGATAATTTGTGGAGTTTGCATCTCTTTTAGAATTGTTTCCACTCCGTTATTCTGAACCACAGGAAACGGGTTCCTATTTTGGAATTGAGCGATTTGTTGATCGCGTTCGTTAACTAGCCTTTGTTCATTTAGTATCTCGGCTTGTAACGCTAACATCTGTTGTTCTTGTGCTTCCAATCTTGCAGCGGCTGCTGCCAACTGGTCTTGCAGCTGTTCATTTTCTGCTGCTACTAGATCACAATTGTTATCGAATCGTGCCATTTTCTAATCACTACTTTTTCACTTAAATCACTTAAACTTTATTTACTGATCAATCACTAACCGCTAATTACTAATCGTTTTGTCTTCTATGTAAAATTTCAGATTTCAGAATTCCAAATTGGATTTAATTCACATTCACATTCACATTTAATCTAATGGTATTCCTTATCATTTAACACATTTAACACATAAACTATTTCGAGATTTCATCAACTAAAAATAATTTCACTTATAAAATTAGAGAACTTAACTTACCTTGGATCCACTCCAGTATGCGTCTGTCGTGAGGTCCTCTGTGTCGGTTGCACTTCGGTATTCGTCCGAAGATTCCCCGGGTTATAGATTCCTTCGCTGTATCCTTGTGACGTAGCTTTCTCTAACCACGATGTGCATTCGTGGATGGATAATTTCCGGAACAACTATCACTTAGATCACACGCGGAATCCTACCGTTGACTGCGCCAATTAAAACTTTACCGAGGCATTCGGGGTTTTTAAAAAAATATCTAAGACGAACTACTCCACTCAAAAGCTAAAACTGAACTCTTCGATTTATTGTCATTCAATTTAATTACACCTCTAGACGACATACACACACCCATAACTCTCCGGCTGCTCTGCTTATGCTGCATAATCTGTGGGAAGACCATTTGTTGTGGTTTACATCACGTTGCTGCCTGCTGAGGATTTGCTGATTACTGTGGGAATGTTGATTGAACGATGTTGACGAATGATATTGATGCTGGGTGCTAGTTCCGATGATGGTTCTAAGACGGGGGCAGATTGGTGTTTAACTTATATATATATATCTAAGTTTGCTAAATATTGGCAATAAATCGTTATAGATTTCAGTGTACTTCATGTTGAATTATGATGTACAACAGAATGTAAATTTGGTTCATATCTGTAGTTTATACATATGGATGTATGTTTGTTTAACATTGTTGATCGTTCTCAACTATTTTTGTTCGGGCTAGATGTAAGTTTAGATAAGAAGTACTCACGTTTAGTTCCCATTGGAGTATTCCAGGATTTAGGTTTAGCCTAGCACGTAAGTTTTAACCGTAAGTCCTAGGTAAGTTACATTAGATTAAGTATTTGTAAGCTTCCATTAGCAATTCATCATTCTCACCGATTCTGTTGTCTGGTGAGACAGTTAATTAGCTGTGATTCAATTACACAGAGTTGTGGATTACCTATTTATACGCAAAATATTCTTAATTCACAGTAATCATAATGCAAAAAGAACTTACAAGTTTCTTCGATGAGTAACACTAGATTTAGGTATTTAAACTATATTAGAATTTTAATTAAATAGCACTGAACTAATTAGGGATAGAATGGCTGTCGATTGGGTTTTATGTGTTTTCCTACTCACCCGGTGTGACAGATTGATACCTGTCACTCCGCTTGTCGTTTCGCTGCTGAACCCACTGCAGGGATGTGCTGATCCACGTAGGCACCAACGGTAGGTGCGCTGAGGCCAGTGTGGCCAAAACTCCCCCCAGGGTACGACAACCCGTGGTTGTCTTACTCTCCGTCGCACCGGACGTCTAAAACAGCAAGCTTCGTCGCCGGGCGGTCGTAGATACCACTCACTGTTCTTACGGTTGCGGACCGAACCTGGTCGTCCTGGCTGACTTTAATGCCGACGACTTTCCCCTTCGGCCAACAGTTGCGGGGCATGTTGGAATCGGCGATGACCACAATATCGCCCACGGCAATCGGCTTTACCCGACGAAACCACTTGGTACGGCGGGTAATCTCTGGCAGGTAGTCCGATACCCAACGCTTCCAGTATTGGTTTGCAAGTATCTGCGATGTGCACCAGTTCTGCCTTAAGATCGCACCGGTATCATCAAAGTTAACAAGCGGTTTTGACCCGTTGGACGAGCCGAGCAGAAAGTGGTTCGGTGTCAGTGCTGGTGCCGAATCCTCGTCTATCGGCACGTGCGTTAGCGGTAGCGAGTTCACGGTGTTCTGCACTTCGATCAACAAGTTGCGGAGTACTTCGTCGGACGGCCTCTTCGACGAACATACAACCATCAAGTTGTTCTTGACGGTGCGAATCAATCGCTCCCAACTGCCACCCATATGTGGCGACAGAGGTGGGTTGAACACCCATTCAATTCCGGAGCTCGTGAACTCTTTCATCAGTTCGTGTTGGTGGACTGCTTCGTTGGCTTGCTTCAATTCCCGATTTGCACCGATGAAGTTCGTGCCACGGTCACTGTAAATCTTCTGAGGAGTACCACGCCGTGCAATGAAGTTGTGGATCGCCATGATGCAGGAGCTTGTGCAAAGCGAGTGCACGACTTCTATGTGGATTGCTCGCACGGTCAGGCAGGTGGCTAACATTCCCCACCGCTTTTCGACTCTCCTTCCGACGACGACTTCAATCGGCCCGAAGTAGTCAACTCCCACATATGTAAATGGTCGCGAGAAAGCAGCGAGGCGGGCTGGCGGAAGATCTGCCATGTAAGGTGGGCTGGGTGCTGCGTGCTGGTTCTTACACCACTGGCAAGTTTTCCTCACTCGCTCGTAACAGGTGCGTAAATGAGGGTTGCGAAATTTCTGCCGTATTTCGTTGATAACGGTCTCGTGGTTCTGATGGTGGTATTTGTGGTGGTAGTATGCTACGATCAGGGTGGTGGTGTGGTGATTTCGATGGAGAATAATTGGGTGCTTTGCGTCATCAGTAGCATATTGACAAGCAGCGATACGAGTTTGCATACGCATGATTCCATGGTCGTCCAACCATGGTGTTAACGGGTAGAGTGAGCTGGTTTTCGGGATAGTACTTGTGCAGGAGTCAGGACATCGCGATGCCTTCTGAAGAACAGCAATTTCGTCGGGATATGTTTCCCGTTGCGCGAGCCGTATCAGCAAACACTCGGCGGAAAGCAGGTCGTTTGCTGTGAGTGTTCCCGTAAGAATCGGCCTCCTGGCGTGCTTCAGGCGACAATTACTCGCAAAACGATGAACGAGTGCTGCAACCTTGACGAGCCTCTTCCAGCTTGAGTAGTTGCTGACACTTATGACGGGTTCCGATAGTTCGTGATGAGCCAGGAAGGAAGGGCGAAGTTCGTTCTCTGTAGATCCACTAAGTGTTGGCGATGGAGGCCAATCTTCTTCAGCGCGCCAGAGAAAGTCTGCTCCTTTGTACCATCTATGATTAGATGACATATCTGGTAGCCTACTCCACTTGGTAGCGTCATCGGCGCAGTTCAGCTTGCGCGGGACCCACCGCCATTCATGTGTTTCCGAAATCTCTACAATCTCACTGATCCTGTTACCAACGTATTGGCTATAGTGGCGATGGTCCAAGTTGATCCAGCATAGGACGTCTCGAGAATCTGACCAGTACACCTTTCTGAAGATGTGGATGGACAGCGATCTTTCGACAGCGTGAGCCAACCGGGCGCCAAGGACTGCAGCTGCTAGTTCCATTCTTGGGATCGACGTGAACTTAAGCGGGGCGACTCTCGGTTTTGCGGCGACGATGGAACAGATGATCGTTCCGGTCTTGACGAAACGCAGATAGCAAACAGCGGCCATGCCGTTTTCACTGGCATCCACCATTGTATGGAGTTGGATATCATCGGCTTCCTCCGCGGGGTATTTGGAGTTGTAGCATCGAGGGATTTGAATCTGTTCAACCCTAGGTAGAACTTGCAACCATGTGTTCCATTTTTCGTATGCATTGTCGTCGATTTCTTCGTCCCATGCACACCGGACCGCCAGATTAGCTGGAGCAGGATCTTCAGGAACGATAGAAAGTGGGAAATCAAGCCAAGTGGATCAAAAATGGTCATTAGGACACGCAGCACTTCCCGCTTCGTTGGACGTCGTTGTCCTCCTAGCAGAGCAGAGTCGTAGCGGCTCCATCCCACTTTGTAGGTGAAGACGTCGTAGCTCGTGTTCCACCACATGCCTAACACCTTCTCGGTGGCCAGCTCCGGAGATAAGTCGAGACATTTTTTGTCGGTGTCTGCCTCCTGTAGCGATTCAAGTACTTTTCTCGAGTTACTAACCCAATTTCGGATTTCGAAGCCGCCCTGCTCGTGTACATGCTTAACGTCCTTCGCCAACTGGATGGCTTGCTCTTCGGTATCCACACTAACGAGCATATCGTCTACGTAATGCGACTTCGTGATAGCTTCGCAGGCAGCTGGATATTTGCTCGCGAATCGTTCCGCATGGGTATTTTTCACTAACTGAGCAGTGCTGGGGGAGCAGCAGGCCCCGAATGTCATCACTCTTATTTGGGTTGGTTACAGGAAAGATTGGCAAATACCAGCGTCGTGGAACCTTCTGGTTGATTTCTTCGTCGGTGAGCTTCCGGATGTACTGCTTCTCCACATACTTGGCAATTTTTGCTTGCAGGGTATTAGACAGTTGTGGGTCCTTCTCCATCCGTTTCTTCAGGCACTGGAATCGCCACAGCGCCATTGATCGACTGTCAGGCAAGCGGGCGTCATCGAACCGCCAGAGCAGCCCGGACTCGTATCGATCATCTTTACGACGGGTAAGCGACTGAAGCAGTGATACTGCACGTTCATCTTCAACGGACAAAAGCGCCTTCTCCGATTTAACCAACCCGAGACTGTCTATTGAGAAGTAGTCCTTCATAGCTTGGTGTAAATCCTCGTCTGACTTCACACTACAGGGGCAAACGTGGAAGGTGTAATGGTGTAGGCTCGCTTCGTTCTGGGAAGTCCATCCTCCACACACGGTCCATCCGAGCCGTGTCTTCACAGCAATTGGTTGACCGATTTCCCCTTCTCGATTTTTCAGGCCAAGACTGAGCAGGGCGTGCTTCATCCCTATTAGAATGCGTGGACGAGCGTCGCGATAAGAATCGATCGGCAGATTTCGAAGGTGTGGGTACAGCTGTGACAACTTAGCCATGTCCATCGTTTTCTGCGGCAACAATAGCTCTTTAACCGTCCTAACATCGCTCAAGAGGAATTTCTTGCTTTCGTTCTTGCCACCAGCAATGTGAAGATTATAGATGTGAGAATCCGCCTCGTGTCGTTCGGTTCCTCCAGTCCATCGGAGACACAAAGGGCTTACAGTGCCATCAAGCTGCAATTCGTTAGCTAGCTCTTGATCAAGCAACGTAAGCGCAGAACCCTCATCCAAGAATGCGTACGTGCAAATAGCTGTATTTTTTCCATACAACACTACTGGGAGATAACGAAACAGTACTGAGCTGACGGTTGTCTGGTGGGTGTTGCATCCGGACTTGCTAGTGCTGGATTGCGAAGATTGTTCACCTTCAGTGGTACTTCCGGTGTTTTTCGGATTTTCCTTCGAATTGTTGTGCAACAGCTCATGGTGCCGGTAGGTGCATCCATCTTTACCACATGGTTTTGCTTTGCTGTATCCTTTATGGATGCGCAGACATGTGCGGCAGAATTCAAATTCCCTTATGACGGCCCAACGTGATTCCCTGGACAGTTCCAGAAAACGTTTGCACTTGTCGGCCGACTTGCAAGTTCCCTTGCAGATTTGGCAGGATTCCTTCGCCGAAGTTGATGCAACTGTAGTCTGTTCTTCCGAATCGCTACTGTAGTCTTTAGAACGAAACGTTTCAGAATGGGCGTTGAGGTACGCATTTCTTTTCTTAGTCCGCCACGCTTCGTTTTGAGTTGGCTTCCCGTCATGTATCGCCGGTGGGAATACGACAACACTCGCTGCTTCCGCCAAGGCATGAATCCAGTCACTGAAGGTCGCCAGATTGACCAGTGACAGTGTTCGACGATGCTGTGCCCAGTTGAGTTTGAGCGATGGCGGTAGCTTGCCGACTAGCTGGTGTAGTAGAGTGACATTGTACATATACTCATGCAGCCCACACGCGTCTACAGTGGCACTGAAGTTTTGGACATTCACCGCAAAGTCCACTAGCGTTTCCAGCTTGTCTTCTCGAATCGACGATAAAAAGCTCACCTTCCCAATTAGCGATTGTATGATCACCTCTGGTTGACCAAACAGCATCTTCAAAGTGGACAGAATGCCAGGAACGTTTCCGGAATGCATCAAGCGACTCTTGACAGCATCGTAAGCTCTGCCTTTTAGGCTTTTCTGCAGTCGAACTATGTTTTCATCCTCCGTAAATCCACACATTGTGGTCGTTCGATTATACATGGATATGAAAACTGGCCACTCCTCTGGATTGCCCGAAAACGTAGGCAGATCTTTGGATACTGCTTGTCGTGCTGCAACTTGAGAGCGGGAAAGTTGAAACTGGTCATCATCATCCACAATCGACGAGTTAACTGAAGGCCCTCTATTTCTGTCGCCTGTATTCATAGAAGGTCTATGCGGATAATACGATTCTCTCGGATGAAGTTGCGTCGACTGCGGTAGAGCGTCTGGAAGGAATTGTCCAGGTTGCTCACGTATCGACTCTCTGCATGACTCTGCTTCGAGATTCACCGGTGGAGGGTTGAGTTGTGGTTCTGGCATCTGGTTGCAATGAATTAGATTTCCTGGTCGTCGCATGACCCCTTGACCATCCGCTAGCTGTTGTTGCTGGTCGCGTAGAATTCTCTCCTGTTCCAACTGCTGTTCCCACATCCGATTGATGGCATCCGCTTCCTTCCTCAAATCTTCCTGTTGCTGTCGCAGAAGACTCTCCTGACGTATTTGCTCTTGCCGCTGCTGCTGTTGATACTGCCGAAATTGCTGCTCTCTCTCCAACTGCTTCTGCTGCTGCTTCCGTAGCTGATCTGCGTGCAACCGTTGTTGCTGATGCTGTTCTTGCAGTGTCGCTTCCTGCTGCTGTTGTTTTTCTCGAAGCTGTTCTTGCCGCAACCGTTCCTGCTGCTGTTGCTCGACAAACTCTTGACGCCGATGTTCCTGCTGTTGTTGTTCTTGCAGGCCGTCTTGTTCCTGAGCGGCGGTTTTAGCTGTGTCTAAGGGTGTAGGGTTAGTTGCTTGCACCCATTCTTCAACCCGACGACGAGAGAAGTTAGAGCTCCGACTCGATCCTCGTTCGCTCGCTAAATCCTCCAGAATCTTATATTTGTTGTCCAGATATTCCTTATACTCTTGGGCTGCCTTTTCCTCAGAGATTCTTCTGCGCTCTTCTTGCTGCTGCTGAAATGCCCGTTCTTCCTGCAATCTCATTAGTTGAAGCTTGGCGCGGTTTGTTGCAGACTTTTGTGATGAGGAGATGGACATTTCGGAAATCGCTTCCTCTGCATCGATCACTGGCAACACTACAGCTGGTAACGACGACTTCTGCTTCTGCTGGCTGAACCCTAGATCTGGACACGTTTGGTGTTTACTGGCCAACGAAACTGGTAATGACTTCAAATATTTTTGCGACGCTGGATCCGAACGAATTCCAGAGCCAATCAATGGTATATCTATGCTATGTGTCGAAGTCTGCTGCTTCTGATCGGGCACTGGAACCAGAGGTGCTGGATGATGGCTGGCCAACGGAACTGTCAGCGACTTAGCTGACTTTTGTGATGTTGTAGCTGAAGGAATTACTGGATTGCCACGGGTGCTTGTCACGATTTTCCCGATGCTTAGGTCTTGCAGCGATCTCCGATTCTGGATGACGTCTTCCTTTATTGGTGCTCCGTCCGAAGCTGCCTTAGTTCGCTGGACCCATTTCGCAGTCACGCAGTTAGTACAACTCCAGCTCTTGTCGGCAACTTCCTCCGATACGCCTACACAGGAAAAGTGGTGCCATCGATCACATACGTCGCACTGAACCATCTCTTCGGTGTCAGGACCTTGACAAGCTCTACAGGTATGTCCTTCCACGGTTTCCTCCAATATCACCACTTCCGTAATACCACCACCATCACCACCAGCAGCATTATCTTCACTGTTCACACCATTTCTACGAGTGCTCTTCGATTCGGATTTACCATCACTTCGCGACATTTGACTTGCACCGACCGTACCGTTTCAATAAACGAAAATTATATTTTGTTGAAAATCGATTTCAACGGGAAGTTTCCAAAATTATGATTCTCACTACTTAGGCCGGAAACGAATAAAACGCACGATCCGATTAATGTTACTTGATGTGAGAATATAATTTTCCTAGCAAATAACAATAATTTCAGATGTAATTAGTAATTATGTATATATATATATATCTCTCTAAGTTTGCTAAATATTGGCAATAAATCGTTTATATATTGGCAATCTGTAGTTTATACATATGGATGTATATTTGTTTAACATTGTTGATCGTTCTCAACTATTTTTGTTCGGGCTAGATGTAAGTTTAGATAAGAAGTACTCACGTTTAGTTCCCATTGGAGTATTCCAGGATTTAGGTTTAGCCTAGCACGTAAGTTTTAACCGTAAGTCCTAGGTAAGTTACATTAGATTAAGTATTTGTAAGCTTCCATTAGCAATTCATCATTCTCACCGATTCTGTTGTCTGGTGAGACAGTTAATTAGCTGTGATTCAATTACACAGAGTTGTGGATTACCTATTTATACGCAAAATATTCTTAATTCACAGTAATCATAATGCAAAAAGAACTTACAAGTTTCTTCGATGAGTAACACTAGATTTAGGTATTTAAACTATATTAGAATTTTAATTAAATAGCACTGAACTAATTAGGGATTGAATGGCTGTCGATTGGGTTTTATGTGTTTTCCTACTCACCCGGTGTGACAGATTGATACCTGTCACTCCGCTTGTCGTTTCGCTGCTGAACCCACTGCAGGGATGTGCTGATCCACGTAGGCACCAACGGTAGGTGCGCTGAGGCCAGTGTGGCCAACAGATCGCTTTACTCAGTCCCGAATCATCTTGGCAGATCAGTTAAGTTTAACGTACCGTAAAACGGGGTATCTTTTATAGTATAATATAATGATTAAATTTACTCTCTGCGTTTTTTCCGGATTGGAAACATTGGTTCCATATTGTAACTTAGGGTATTTCTGTTGATATCGTATATAGTTTTTGTATAGTAGGGAAAAGGGCTCTAATGTTGTCCTATGGATCTAAGATTTAGGTCCATCGCTAAAAATCTGTTATTTATCAATTAGATCTACATGAACGCGTCGGGACGGTACTAATAGATATTTTTGGTTGCTATTGAAAATTTAGTCGATTGCTGAATTTATGTATCGGCCCATATTAGGGCATATAGGCCGCCTATACATCCATTTTCCCTATTACTATCGAATTGACTCTAGGATCCTCAGTACTTTGAAAAAACAATCATTGCTGTAAAAATATTTAGAATATACTTTAAAAAACTATCATCGTAACCGCGTTTTACGGTACCCTTTTCGCTTTAAAGGTGGTTGAAACATGCTTACTTATCTCCGGTTAAAGTTTACACGGCAAATCGGATACAGCCCTATAACATTCTTACTATGAGCTATGATGTGTAAAATTAAATAAGGGGTAGTTCAAAAACAACGTATACAGGGGGAGGGGGGGTTGGCAATTGTCTACGATCCACACAAATTTCCAAAAAACTTGTATGGACGATTGTCTACGGGGGAGAGAGGGGTCTACAGCCTCCCAAAATTGGTCTACGTATTTTATGAACAGACCCTCAGTGAACCGAACTTTTAGATTTCATGCTTTCTGTGGTCGAAAACGGTCGTTTCCTGCTATAACACCCTTACAGAGACGAACCGTTTTTGCTTCTGGCACTGTCATTTCGTCCAAATTAACCATTAATTATTTTAATTTCTTAATTCTACGCTTTCATTTATGATTCATTGTGGCTTCCTGCTGTGGTTGGATGCCCAGAATTTTCGTGAAAACGGAACGCAATATTTTCCCAAGCTTTGTCATGCCTACGACTCACCACAGTCATCGTTTTTTTTTTCTAACGAAAGGGTAAGTACCACTCACAAAAAATGCGAACCATGTTGGTGGTTTTCAGGATTGCGTCTAGTTAGAGAGGTCGGTTTTGTGGTGGGAAGCGGAAAAAAACATAAATGATTAACTCTTTTTATGCCAGGATGCTTTTCCCGAGTCTGCCGTGACGGCCGCAAGCTGAGCAACGTCCGCTTGGCGCGATGGGAAATTGTGTTTATTCTGTGGAAAATAGGAAAAGGAGCTTGGGGAGGTATTTCCCTTGCGGTGAGAAGGGAATGATAAGGTTTTTATTTGTCATCAATGGTGGTTGTTTAAAACAAGCCATTAAGGTTGCTGCACCATGGATGGGGGTCGTAAAAAGAGCAGAGCGAGTTCAATGTTTTTGGAGTCTTTAATTTGTGTGGTCTGTTAGTGGGGACAGTTTTTTTTTCATGAATCGCTTGATGTAGACTAGATAATTATAAAGGTCTATATTAAATCCTTTTTTGTAAACATTAAAAGATACTGAGAAGCAAAGTCCACATGATCGGCAAGACACGTGTATGTGAGAAAATTTGCGCAAAAAACCTGCGGAAACCAGTGGGATTTAAATCCACAAATCTCATTCATGATGAATGGGATTAGTGGTTTCAAATCCCACTGGTTTCCGTAGGTTTTTTGCGCAAATTTTCTCACATACACGTGTCTTGCCAACCATGTGGACTTTGCTTCTCGGTATCTTTTAATTTTTCAAAGAAAATTTGTTGACAAAGTCGATTAATTGAAATAAAAAATATATTAAACCAACTATTTATAGGAAAAGAAAACTCGAACAATAGTAATCAAAGGCTTATGATTAACCCTCTACTGCAAGAACAATGGTTTAAGTCCTTGAGATAATATGGCATACTTTCTTTCGAAAAGGCTTCTAGCTAATATGAAAAAATGATAAGAATTATTGTGAACAATTTAGTTTTTTTATAACAACTTTTATAAAATCTAATATTTTTAAATTTTCTCGCTATCAATTAAGCTATATATATAAAGAGGGCAGCTTAAACTAGCATTCATCTGATCAGTTTGAATGTCAATACAAAGAAATGGTCTTTTTGAAGATCAACGCTTTTTTCAAGTTTACTGAAAATCATAGAACACGTTTTTATAACACTACATTTAACAATGATTTTGTTACCAATTCTATCCAAGCAATCTTGGAAATAGTACAGCATTCAATGGAAAATCCAATTATTGTTGTCCCTGCTCTTTAAATTTACCTAGCCAGAAGGCAGGCTTGGACAAAAGAGGGGGATCAATTAATCAACCAACTCGTTTCACGAAGAACAATTAAGAGGCGCTCCATTAACCCTTTCCTTTTCAGAAGGTTTTTCGTTGATTTGAGATGCAAAAATGTGTTTTTGAAAAAAGTGCTAGAACAAAAAACGTACCATACAGTCTAAAATTATCAAAACCATTAAAAAAATGTTTGATTAAAACTTAATAGTAGCAGTGCCAGTGGTGTAGTGGTAAGCGTGATTACCTCTCACCCCAGCAGGCCTGGGTTCAATCCCAGTCGGCGCCGCCTAAAATCTCTGATCACGCCTTCCTTCGGAAGGGAAGTAAAGCCGTTGGTCCCCGATTTATGTGTTGATGGGTCGATAGGTAAGGGTCCAGGTGTGGGAGCTGCCTCTCTGGTATCGGTAGCATTGGTGCTCAGCACGGAAAACAAGATCGACGGAAAACAAATTACGGGAAAAAAATTAATGGTGGTTTATTTGTTTTTTAATAGTTGCTCAGTTGAATTCTGAATAATATATATGAACGAGGCTAGGTTAGGTTGACTTTGTTAACTAGACTTTCAACCATAGGCTTGTTCATCTCTTCATTATGAACGAGAATAATTAACTCAAGGAGAATCCTAAACAAGCTCTGACTATTTAATAGTAGATTCACAACACTAGACGGACCGGAGTTGTGGACCACCTATGCTACCATAGGAAGGAGAGGGTGAGGTATAGCACGCTCTAAGAGGGTAGGACGGTTTGAAATGTGTGACAAGCAATGCATACGGCATAGGAAACTCGTGACGAAAGGCAGGCTTCGATTTTTCCTGAATTTCGCATGATGTATTTGTATTCTTCTTCTATTTGAAATAGCATTCAATCATCATCATTATTATACCCATTGTCAATACGAAATTTTAAAATTTCCTGGGTAAAATATATTCACTGTATTTACTAACTTGTGTTTTTCGAAGCAAAGCACGCAATCAAATACACGAAACTCAAAACAACTACTTCACAAAACTCTTGGTGCCTTGGTGAACAAAATTGAACACCAAGAAAACCACTTCAACTGCACTGTTTTTTTTTTTTTTTTTTTTTTTGCAAGAAAGACTACGTGTTTTGTGAAGGATGCCAATCCAGGGAAATGCAACGAAAATTGGTCAGACTTTTAATTCTAATAACTTGGCCAATAATTATTACAATTTGATGATTTGTGTGTCGATAGATTCGACAGTTTTATAAGATTTGACACATTATAAATGTTAAATATTCAAATAGCTAAACATTAAGAAATATGCAAACATTCCAATTGCTCATACATTTTCTTCGACCGTAAGGTGCTCACCCCTAACACAGACATCAGAAAACTGTTCCCTAACAACACCAACCGAAGCCGCATAATCATTCTGCGTTGTACGCTGGACGGGTCGACCTCGAACTTGTTCGCTGCGTGGACATTGTAGCATTTTTTTTCTATTCATTCACCTACATCAGCTAAACACAGAAAAAAGGAGGGGCATAGAATGGTAATCCAAATACTTAAGTAAACAAAACGTAGCAAGTTTGACTGCAGTCATCTTTTGTGCCGAGTGATAAACAGGGGTGTTCGTTGCGTTGCACACAATGAAAACGAAACTAACTTAGAGAGTGACTAACTTTTACTCTGTTGGGAGTCACTTTTACTCACTCGTATGATTTTTTTTTCCTAAAGCGTAGGTTATTTAACGCATGAGTAACTTACGATTTAAAAAAAAATCTCCATACGAATCAGTAAAAGAGACTCATTCTCTGAGTAATATTCGATTTCAATGTATTTAGCT